GACCCACGCGACCCGCGCGTTGGCCGGGGGGACCTCCGAGGGCTGCCCCTTGCCCCTAAACCGGGGGGGACCAGGCTCGGGGGGGCCCCGGAAAATCCCCCCCCCCCCCCCCCGGGGAGGTGTCCGTTCGGGCGCCGCAGCAACGCGGACGGGGAGGGGATGACAACCTAGACTCAGCATTCATCGTGGAATGAGAATGGTGAGAACTACCCGTGGAGGCCCGACGGGAGGCCCCCCATTTTCGGGACGGCGTAGAAGGCGCGCAGCCGCAGCTCCTTGTACTTACAGGGGGGTTCCGACAGGGCTGAGGCGAGGACGGGGGAGGCGGCCCAGCCGAGGCGTCGGTCACTTCGGGGAGTGGAAAACCATCCCCATTTTGTGCGTGCGGGAGGTGAGGACGCGCTCCTCCAGTCCCGGGGGGGGGGGGGGGGGGTGTCAGAGCTCCAGGCGGTGATGGCGGCTGTTCTGGCGGCCGGCTATCGTCCGGCTCAGAAGTGTGGGCCTGTGCGCGCCAAAATGGAGACGCGCAAGGGACACGGCACCCGCAAGGGACTCGCGGAGGGGTCCGTCTTCAGTGCGAGCGGCGAGGGCGCGCGAGCCTGCTCGGGCGGGTCCGTCGACCCGGCCGGCACCTGCCGCTCCAGCGCCCCGATGTACCCGTGCCCAAAGTGGACGTGAAACACCCTCCGCCCGACTTGAAACTCGTGCCCGCGCATCGCCGTCGCCGGCTGAACCTCGGCGTCCAGCGGGATGAGCGCCGAGGAGGAGGGCACCGACGGCGCGCCCGCAGGACGGATCACCGGCGACACAGACATGGGCGTGCTGCCGGCAGAGCTGTTGGCCGAGAGCCGCGGCTTCTTCTCCGCGCGCTCCTGCGCCCCGACTGACGGCCGCCGCGACTCGCGGCTGCCGCGGCTCCGCGCGGAGGCGGCGTCCGGGCGTCGGGCTGAGCCCTCGCTCTGCGTCGCGCGCGGTCGGACCGGCGCCTCGCCCTCCCTGCCCGCTGATGCGTTGCCGCCGAGGCTGCCGCCGCCGCCGCCCGCTGCGCCGTCCAGGTCCATCTCAAACTGCATCTCGGACGACTCGGGCGCGGCGGCAGGGCCCATCCGCGGACTCGGGCCGGCGGGCTGGCTTCTGGCACGCCGGGGAGCGCCTGGCGCGGCGGTCGAGCTCATGCAGCAGCGGCGGTGTTCCACGGGGGCGCCTGCAGGCATCGGCGGAGGGGAGGGGCGCGGGATCGGCGGGCGCGCGCCGGGGCACGCGCAGCACGCGCGACCGCAAAGGAGCCGGAAGGGGCGCCCGCCGCAAGGGGGGCGGAGTGCGCCCGGCGGTGCGACGAAAGTAGAAAGGAGGGAGGAGCCGCGGACCTTCGCACTGTGTCGAGCTCTTGCCGGCAGGTACTCTGCGATGAACAGTGGCGCGTTTTCTTTTTCTTCAAGCTTAGAGAGTACAAGCCCCTCTCACTGCAGACTGGCACGAACTAGCAGTCGATAGCAGGAGAAAAAGAAAGCGGTGAAATGTCGGCGGCGCTTTTCGGCTTGTTGCTTGGCAGCTCTGCTGCGGCGCTCCGCTTCTCTCCGCCTGCTTCCCCCCCCCCCGCCGCCGCCCACCCCGCCGCCAGAGCCTCGCCGCCGGTCGCTGGTTTCTGGAGCCGGATTCGCGGGCGATCGACCCGAACGGCGCCTCCGCCTTCGCCTTCGCCGCCTGCCGCGACTCCGTCTACCGCGGTGCTCAACCCGCCCACGCCTGGCCTCACGCACCTCGAGGACGAGGCCGCGTATCGCGCCAAACTTGCGCAGGCAGAAAGTGAGAGCCGCGTCGTGTGCATCAAGTTTTATGCGTCGTGGTGCAGAGCGTGCAAAGCGATGGCGCCAAAGTACAAGCGCGTGGCCGACGACTGGCCCGAGATTGAGTTTTGCGAGGTGCTGTTCGACACCAACAAGGCGCTGTGCAAGGGCCTCGGCATAAAGGTCCTCCCATACATAGAGGTTGTGGCGGGCTCGGCTGGAAAGGCATCGACCGACCTCCACCCCGCCGGCCCTGTCCCACCCCACCCTGTCCCATCCCGCCGGCCCTGTTCCGCAGGTGGAGGGCTTCTCCTGCGGGCCGAGCAAGATCAGCTCGCTCATGGAGAAGCTCGAGGTGCACTCTGGCTGCGAGGAGATTCCGTGCACGAGCGTGGCAGACCAGCTTGATATGATCGAGCGACTGTGACCACCCTTTCTGTCCACTCGCACCATGTGAGTGAGAGTGACTCGACTCTCTGTGCGAGGTGTTTGCTTCCCCGCCGGATTGCAGGCAGGAAGGCTCACTCTGCAATGGTCGTCGCGCTATCCGCTAGAGCAGCTTCGAAGGGCAAGGGGGGAGAGCGCGCTCGCGACAGTGCGTCGGCATCCAGTGGAGGGCTCCAAATAATAAATAACGAGAGCGCCGCGAGCTCGAGCCTGACCGACCTCTACCGCCAAATCTCGCCACGGGCCACCACCGCCGCCGCGGCGGGTGGCGGTGAGGCACTTCCGGCCGAGGCGATGCTGGAGTGCTCCGCGCTCCTCGCGTTCCAGCGCGAGAGTGTCCGTTGGGCGCTGCGTCGGGAGGCACCGAGAGGGACAAAATGGCGCAAATGGTCAAATCAAGGTTTTGTAACGCGAGCTGTGCCACAGTGAAATGGAACTAGCCATAAGGGGGGTGTGGGCGCGTGTGGGCGCGGGGCCTGAGAGAGGACACGTACTCGTACATATGTGTAACGCAGAACGAGATCGCACATTGCGTATGCCATACTTTTACATGCACAGGCTGACCCACAGGACAGAAGTAATACACACACGCAGAGGACAAGACTAGACAGTTTTCTAGAGTGTATAGATTACGCGCGCATTAGGTACTGTATGGCATTACGCCCAGTCCAGAGATATGTGTGTGTGTGTGTGTGTGTGTGTGTGTGTGCCCGCGGGGAAGCACCGCCACACCGGGGGTGTGGCGCGATCTCGGATGATCATGTCGGGCCCACGTCTCCGGGAGCTCACCGCAAGCCGAGCCGCTCGAGGTCGTCCGCCGGCATGTAGCCGCGGCCGAGCAGCTCCGGCCCGTGCTCCTCGACCGCCGCCCGCACCGCAGCCGACCAGCTGGTCGGGGACGCCTCGCCTACGGCAATCAAGGCCGAGTCACGGCTCGGCGCGGTCGCAGCTTGTGGGGAACGCCGCCTCGCCGGTGGTGAGCGTGATGCCCGCCTCGGCAAAGGTGCGCCGCCAGCCCGAGCCGAGGATGGAGAACTTTTGCACCGTGATCGGGTGGATGAAGGACTTAGCGACGCCCCAAGCGGTCCGAAAGACGAGCGGCGCCTGCTCTCGGTTTCAGACGGACGGGAGTGAGAGGGAAGGGGGGGGGGGGGGTCTCTCGTGGTCCGGAGGGCGAGGGGCGCGCGTTGATGACGTAGAAGCGGAAGGCTGTCTCGGGGTAGTGCCATCCTAAGGACAGCTCCGAGAAGGTTCCGAGAAGGTTCCTAGCCTACGGGCCTCGGGGTAGTGCCCAGCCGAAGGTCTCGTTGACCCGCT